ACTGCGCCAATGCCAGTGTTGTCGGGCATATTGTAACCAGACATTTTTTGTGGCATTGGTGCACTAAAGGCTTCTGATCACTCAGTTCTCAGCCTTCTCTGTGCTGAGAGCCTTACTGAGTACTGGAGTGCTGTGGAGGGGATGGGAGCAGCTGGTTCAGCTTCTCAGTGGCCCGCTGAGAGGCTGAGCCAGCTGCCTGTCCAGGCATCTGGGAGGAACCTGAATTTAAAGTCAGGATCTTTTCTGAGCCTGGACCAGCTTAGTGATGTCAGCTGACATTGGGTTGGCTGAAAATAGGTCACAGGAGTACAGAACAAACTGTACTTCTGTGATCCACAGGAGTAAAGCCAAACAAACTTTGGCTATAATTCTCCTTTAATCAATAATTTTGTTTTCTGACTAGTGTTATCAGTTCAGTCATTAACCATTTTAAGTCTGCTCTATAGCAGATTTACTGCTACAGCGCGGACGTTCTGTGCAAAATCATGTATATATACAGTATATATATATATATATATATATATATATATATATATATATATATATATATATGGATGAGCGCCAGCACCCGTTGATGGGTGAGGAGACTGACAGAACACAACTCTGCCTATGTAAACAAGGCAGAGCTGTTTTCTGTCAGCAGCGATCTGCTAGAATTTTTCCACTGCAAAGCAGGGAATAAAATCTAGCAGATTGCCTACTAAAAACACCTAACACAGTACACAAACTACATAGCAAACAGTTTAAACCTTTGATCACCCTTGATGTTTAACCCCTTCCCAGTGTCATTATTCCAGTGACAGTGTATATTTTTAGCACTGATCACTGTATTAGTGTCACTGGTTCCCACAAAGTATCAGTCAGTGTCAGACTTTCAGCCATAATATCACAGTCCTGCTGATCGTTGCCATTAGCACTATAAAAAAAAAAAAATTCCAGTATATATACTGACATTTGTAGATGCTACAACTTTTGCGCAAATCAATAAATATATGCTTATTGGGATTTTTTTTATCAAAAATATGTAGCAGAATACAATTTGGCCTAAATTTATGAAGAAATTCGTTTTTTAAATTTTTTTAATTGGATGTTTTATAGCAGAAAGTAAAAAAGCTTTTTTTTTTTTTTTTTTTTTTTTTTGTGGTATTTGATCTCAGAGGTGATCAAATACCACCAAAAGAAAGCTTTATTTGTGGGGAACAAATTACTTAAACTTCATTTGTGTACAGTGTTGCATGACTGCGCAATTGTCAGTTAAAGATAACGCAGTGCCATATAGCAAAAAAATTGCCTGGTCATGAAGGGGGTAAATCTTCTGGAGGTCAAGTTGTTAATTTTACTTGTCTCCATGAGTTTCTAATAATATTGCAATAATTTGGTTGATTCATCAGATCTCTTATCATGCACATACAGTATTAAGACGTTCTAAGGACAGTGTGCACACATTTCAAGAGTTTAATCAAAATGTAATTTTTTTTATTGTGTGTGCAGGTACAGTACAAGGTTTGCCAGATTTCAAAAGTGTTTATGTGTACTGATATCAGTGTGTTTCTTTCTATCGTTAATTCACACATTAAGATTCTCATATTTTTACTAAGGTTCATTGAGAGCTTCTGGTATAAAATACGGTGAGAAGCCACTCTTTTGGTCCCCGCTACATTGGAACAAAGTATTTGGACAACACCTTCACTCTGCTGTGCCATTGATGAAGCATGGTCAGGGACGGACTGACCATTCAGGGGTCAGTAGGGGGCCCCATGAAATGCCCCTGGTACCTTTTATAGGCTCTTTTGGGTGTGCTTTGAATGTGGGCAAGAACACAGTTCCTATAGCAGATTGACGGCCAGGCGGGACACTCACAGTTGTAACTGGGCGTCATGTGACGTCCTGTCAAGACGAGCCACTCACACGGCCATGGGGCCATGCAGCTGCGTGATCTGTCACATCTGTGTCCACGGATCACAGCCAATGACATATCACTACACTGGCCCATTGCCAGTGTCATTTGACCGCTGGGACCAATCATAGCAGATCACAAGTCGATTGTATACAATGGATGGCTTCCTGTCATGCCATTCATTGTATACAGTTATGTAGTTAGCTGTGACTGGTCAAGGCAGTCACATGTTACAGACATGGCCAATCACAGCCCATCTGTATCATGTGATCAGCGTTGCCCAATCACAGCTAATAGAGATGAGCGAATCGAAGTAGGCGAAGTGGAATTCGTTTCGAATATTAGGAAAATTTCGATTCGAAAATAAGCAGACTTTGGATGCGCGAATCGAAATTTTTCCTAAAATGGCGGCGACATGTGCGGCGACGGAGCGGGGATGTCTGGGAAGGCGCGCAGACAAGGCGCGCTGACCCATAATGCATTCATTCATGACATGTGATCGCATTAGCCAATCAGCAGCCAGCCAGCCAGCACAGTGTAATGGTCGAGCTATAAATGGCGGCCATTTTAGAATTCTCCATTTGCCTCCAGTCATTCAACAGAGGCAGACCTGGCTGTATTCAGGGAGAGAGTTAGGGACAGAGAAACGTTACTTAGGGACACAGAAACGTTAGTTAGGGCCACAGAATCGTTACTTAGGGCCACAGAAACGTTACTTAGGGCCACAGAAACGTTACTTAGGGCCACAGAATCGTTAGTTAGGGCCACAGAAACGTTACTTAGGGCCACAGAATTGTTACTTAGGGACAGACACAGATTTGTTACTGAGGGACACAGATTTGTTACTGAGGGCCACAGAAACGTTACTTAGGGCCACAGAAACGTTACTTAGGGCCACAGAAACGTTACTTAGGGACACAGAATTGTTACTCAGGGACAGACACAGAATTCTTACTCAGGGACAGACACAGAATTGTTACTTAGGGACACAGAATTGTTACTGAGGAACACAGAATTGTTACTGAGGGACACAGAATTGTTACTGAGGGACACAGAATTGTTACTCAGGGACACAGAATTGTTACTCAGGGACAGACACAGAATTGTTACTCAGGGACACAGAATCGTTGAATTAAAGAGTATGTCAGACAACATGCAGAGGAGTGGCAGAGGAGGCAATGTTTTAGGAGCGAGCAGACGTGGCAGCAGAGGAAGGGGTCGAGGCAGCACTATTCGCAGCCAGAGGCCAGTGCTCCCGGTGTCATCCAGTACAGTGAGGAAGAGCTAACAGAGGGCGGTCAGGAACGGGGGGAGACATCCGCCTCTTCAGCAGCCAGGCGAAGAAGTAGTGGCGAGGAGAGTGGCTCGGTAGCCGGTCTAGAGACAGGTCTGTCTCCTGACCCACACGCAGCCGAGGGGTCTAGTAGTGAGGCGGAGACCCTAATTGATGATGATGAGGCTGATCGCACTTGGCAGCCTCGTCGTCATCAGGCTATTGCTTCCGCATCATCAGGAGAAGAGGGTGGCAGCTTGGCAGCGAGCAAAACAGTCGGTGGGTTGTCTCCATCGCCACACTCTGCCATGTGCCACTTTCAGGTCTCCTCACACACTGCTGGTGTGTTCCATTTTTTGTCATAGGGTGCTGGCAGATTACGGGCCTCCCATAGCTGCTGCCAGGCCCCTAATCTGCCATGGGCCCCTGTACGCCTCCTCATGCTGCTGCCAGGTCCACAGTGTCTCATGCCATGTGCCACTTTCAGGTCTCCTCACACTGCTGGTGTGTTCAATTTTTTGTCATAGGGTGCTGGCAGATTACGGGCCTCCCATAGCTGCTGCCAGGCCCCTAATCTGCCATGGGCCCCTATACCGCCTCCTCATGCTGCTGCGAAGTCCAGAGTCTCTCATGAGTCCCTGTATGGCCTCCCATTGCTGCTGTCTCCATCGCCACACTCTGCCATGTGCCACTTTCAGGTCTCCTCACACACTGCTGGTGTGTTCAATTTTTTGACATAGGGTGCTGGCAGATTACGGGCCTCCCATAGCTGCTGCCAGGCCCCTAATCTGCCATGGGCCCCTATACCGCCTCCTCATGCTGCTGCCAGGTCCAGAGTGTCTCATGGGTCCCTGTACGGCCTCCCATTGCTGCTGTCTCCATCGCCACACTCTGCCATGTGCCACTTTCAGGTCTCCTCACACACTGCTGGTGTGTTCATTTTTTGTCATAGGGTGCTGGCAGATTACGGGCCTCCCATAGCTGCTGCCAGGCCCCTAATCTGCCATGGGCCCCTGTACCGCCTCCTCATGCTGCTGCCAGGTCCACAGTGTGTCATGCCATGTGCCACTTTCAGGTCTCCTCACACTGCTGGTGTGTTCAATTTTTTGTCATAGGGTGCTGGCAGATTACGGGCCTCCCATAGCTGCTGCCAGGCCCCTAATCTGCCATGGGCCCCTATACCGCCTCCTCATGCTGCTGCGAAGTCCAGAGTCTCTCATGGGTCCCTGTACGGCCTCCCATTGCTGCTGTCTCCATCGCCACACTCTGCCATGTGCCACTTTCAGGTCTCCTCACACTGCTGGTGTGTTACATTTTTTGTCATAGGGTGCTGGCAGATTACGGGCCTCCCATTGCTGCTGCCAGGCCCCTAATCTGCCATGGGCCCCTATATACCACCTCCTCATGCTGCTGCCAGGTCCAGAGTCTCTCATGGGTCCCTGTATGGCCTCCCATTGCTGCTGTCTCCATCGCCACACTCTGCCATGTGCCACTTTCAGGTCTCCTCCCACACACTGCTGGTGTGTTCCATTTTTTGTCATAGGGTGCTGGCAGATTACGGGCCTCCCATTGCTGCTGCCAGGCCCCTAATCTGCCATGGGCCCCTGTACCGCCTCCTCATGCTGCTGCCAGGTCCAGAGTCTCTCATGGGTCCCTGTACGGCCTCCCATTGCTGCTGTCTCCATCGCCACACTCTGCCATGTGCCACTTTCAGGTCTCCTCACACACTGCTGGTGTGTTCAATTTTTTGACATAGGGTGCTGGCAGATTACGGGCCTCCCATAGCTGCTGCCAGGCCCCTAATCTGCCATGGGCCCCTATAGCGCCTCCTCATGCTGCTGCCAGGTCCAGAGTGTCTCATGGGTCCCTGTACGGCCTCCCATTGCTGCTGTCTCCATCGCCACACTCTGCCATGTGCCACTTTCAGGTCTCCTCACACACTGCTGGTGTGTTCCATTTTTTGTCATAGGGTGCTGGCAGATTACGGGCCTCCCATTGCTGCTGCCAGGCCCCTAATCTGCCATGGGCCCCTGTACGCCTCCTCATGCTGCTGCCAGGTCCACAGTGTCTCATGGGTCCCTGTACGGCCTCCCATTGCTGCTGTCTCCATCGCCACCCTCTGCCATGTGCCACTTTCAGGTCTCCTCACACTGCTGGTGTGTTACATTTTTTGTCATAGGGTGCTGGCAGATTACGGGCCTCCCATAGCTGCTGCCAGGCCCCTAATCTGCCATGGGCCCCTGTACCGCCTCCTCATGCTGCTGCCTAGGTCCACAGTGTCTCATATCATGTGCCACTTTCAGGTCTCCTCACACTGCTACACTGCTGGTGTGTTCCATTTTTTGTCATAGGGTGCTGGCAGATTACGGGCCTCCCATAGCTGCTGCCAGGCCCCTAATCTGCCATGGGCCCCTATACCACCTCCTCATGCTGCTGCCAGGTCCAGAGTGTCTCATGGGTCCCTGTACGGCCTCCCATTGCTGCTGTCTCCATCGCCACACTCTGCCATGTGCCACTTTCAGGTCTCCTCACACTGCTGGTGTGTTACATTTTTTGTCATAGGGTGCTGGCAGATTACGGGCCTCCCATTGCTGCTGCCAGGCCCCTATCTGCCATGGGCCCCTATACCACCTCCTCATGCTGCTGCCAGGTCCAGAGTCTCTCATGGGTCCCTGTACGGCCTCCCATTGCTGCTGTCTCCATCGCCACCCTCTGCCATGTGCCACTTTCAGGTCTCCTCACACTGCTGGTGTGTTACATTTTTTGTCATAGGGTGCTGGCAGATTACGGGCCTCCCATAGCTGCTGCCAGGCCCCTAATCTGCCATGGGCCCCTGTACCGCCTCCTCATGCTGCTGCCAGGTCCACAGTGTCTCATGCCATGCGCCACTTTCAGGTCTCCTCACACTGCTGGTGTGTTCCATTTTTTGTCATAGGGTGCTGGCAGATTACGGGCCTCCCATAGCTGCTGCCAGGCCCCTAATCTGCCATGGGCCCCTATACCACCTCCTCATGCTGCTGCCAGGTCCAGAGTCTCTCATGGGTCCCTGTACGGACGGGCCTCCCATTGCTGCTGTCTCCATCGCCACCCTCTGCCATGTGCCACTTTCAGGTCTCCTCACACTGCTGGTGTGTTACATTTTTTGTCATAGGGTGCTGGCAGATTACGGGCCTCCCATAGCTGCTGCCAGGCCCCTAATCTGCCATGGGCCCCTGTACCGCCTCCATCATGCTGCTGCCAGGTCCACAGTGTCTCATGCCATGCGCCACTTTCAGGTCTCCTCACACTGCTGGTGTGTTCCATTTTTTGTCATAGGGTGCTGCTGGCAGATTACGGGCCTCCCATAGCTGCTGCCAGGCCCCTATTCTGCCATGGGCCCCTATACCACCTCCTCATGCTGCTGCCAGGTCCAGAGTCTCTCATGGGTCCCTGTATGGCCTCCCATTGCTGCTGTCTCCATCGCCACACTCTGCCATGTGCCACTTTCAGGTCTCCTCACACACTGCTGGTGTGGATTCGAGTGTTCCATTTTTTGTCATAGGGTGCTGGCAGATTACGGGTCTCCCATTGCTGCTGACAGGCCCCTAATCTGCCATGGGCCCCTGTACCGCCTCCTCATGCTGCTGCCAGGTCCAGAGTCTCTCATGGGTCCCTGTACGGCCTCCCATTGCTGCTGTCTCCATCGCCACACTCTGCCATGTGCCACTTTCAGGTCTCCTCACACACTGCTGGTGTGTTCCATTTTTTGACATAGGGTGCTGGCAGATTACGGGCCTCCCATAGCTGCTGCCAGGCCCCTAATCTGCCATGGGCCCCTATAGCGCCTCCTCATGCTGCTGCCAGGTCCAGAGTGTCTCATGGGTCCCTGTACGGCCTCCCATTGCTGCTGTCTCCATCGCCACACTCTGCCATGTGCCACTTTCATGTTTCCTCACACTGCTGGTGTGTTCCATTTTTTGACATAGGGTGCTGGCAGATTACGGGCCTCCCATTGCTGCTGCCAGGCCCGTAATCTGCCATGGGCCCCTGTACCGCCTCTTCATGCTGCTGCTAGGTCCAGAGTGTGTCATGGGTCCCTGTACGGCCTCCCATTGCTGCTGCCAGGAGGCAGCAGGGTCGCAGCAGTGTCAGTGGAGGCAAACAGCCACGGAGTAGAGCACCAGCTCCACTGCAGCCTACCACCACGGCCAGTAGTGGTGCCGGTGTGCACGGAGGAAGTAGCAGTCAGCCAGTGAGGAGTAGCGGGGGCAAAGTTTCCTACTCGGCGGTGTGGCAATTTTTCGTCAAGCCGCCCGAGGAAGTAAACGTAGCCGAATGTCGACTATGTGGCCAGAAAGTCAAGCGTGGCCAGGGGGCCCATGTTGGGACTACAGCGTTGCGTCAGCATATGCAGCGTCGCCATTCGGTGGCCTGGGAAAACCGTGATAAAGATACGGCGGTTCTGCCTGCCCCAGCCCAGGATTCCATTTTGTCATAGGGTGCTGGCAGATTACGGGCCTCCCATTGCTGCTGCCAGGCCCCTAATCTGCCATGGGCCCCAGTACCGCCTCCTCATGCTGCTGCCAGGTCCACAGTCTCTCATGGGTCCCTGTACGGCCTCCCATTGCTGCTGTCTCCATCGCCACACTCTGCCATGTGCCACTTTCAGGTCTCCTCACACTGCTGGTGTGTTCCATTTTTTGTCTTAGGGTGCTGGCAGATTACGGGCCTCCCATAGCTGCTGCCAGGCCTCTTATCTGCCATGGGCCCCTGTACCGCCTCCTCATGCTGCTGCCAGGTCCAGAGTCTCTCATGGGTCCCTGTACGGCCTCCCATTGCTGCTGTCTCCATCGCCACACTCTGCCATTTGCCACTTTCAGGTCTCCTCACACACTGCTGGTGTGTTCTATTTTTTGTCATAGGGTGCTGGCAGATTACGGGCCTCCCATTGCTGCTGCCAGGCCCGTAATCTGCCATGGGCCCCCGTACCGATTCCTCATGCTGCTGCCAGGCCCGTAATCTGTCATGGGCCCCTGTTGTCGCTTGTTGGCATATTCCGCTCGTTCAGATGCTCCTTCTCCTGCTACTCCTCTTCACGGATTCCGTCAGCAGTCTTTCTTGGAATCCGTTTCCAAGAGACAACAGTTTGCGAGCACGCACCCGACGGTGCAGAAGCTGAACGTCCTCCTGTCCAAGTTGCTGCTGCCAGGCTCGTAATCTGTCATGCGCCCCTTTACCGCCTCCTCATGCTGCTGCCAGGTCCAGAGTGTGTCATGGGTCCCTGTACGGCCTCCCATTGCTGCTGCCAGGCCCGTAATCTGCCATGGGCCCCCGTACCAACTCCTCATGCTGCTGCCAGGCCTGTAATCTGTCATGGGCCCCTGTACCGCCTCCTCATGCTGCTGCCAGGTCCAGAGTGTGTCATGGGTCCCTGTACGGCCTCCCATTGCTGCTGTCTCCATCGCCACACTCTGCCATGTGCCACTTTCAGGTCTCCTCACACTGCTGGTGGTTTCCATTTTTGTCATAGGGTGCTGTATGGCCTCCCATTGCTGCTGCCTCCACCGCCACACTGTGGCTCCACACTCTGGTTTTGGCCCCGTGACTGCCCAAATGAGTGAAGTGTGCGGTGATTCTAAGATCGACGGCACTCATCTGCATGTCATACTGACTGTCAGTATTATTTCTCTTCCCCAGCAGACTCTAAGGGCATTTAAATTAAAGGTACAGTGTTCTGCACTAATATAAAGGCTCTCTGAAGCCTAGAAACACCCTTTTATAAGTTAAATTCGCAGCGAATATATTCGACTCGAATCGAAATTTTTCCACGAATTCGCCGAATCAGTCGAATCGAATTTTTGAACACTTCGCTCATCTCTAACAGTTAATCTCAACAAAAGACTGAATGAATCAGTTTCATTCAGTAAACGATTGCAAATATCATCAAAATACACTGGTATTAGCCATCATAATGTGTTAAAAAAAAAAAAATCCTGATCACTTGCCCAGAGTAGTTCAATGTTACTATGGTAACATTGTATTGCTTTGGTCACAGTGTGCTGAAAAATAAAATAGTAAAAAAAAAAAACTGTAATAAAAAAAATAATAGAAACAGTTGAAAAAAAAAAATACAAATTCAATTATTATTATTATTTTCACCAAAAAAATGTAGAAGAATATAGTTTGACCTAAATTTATAAAGAAATTTTATTTATTTGCAAAATTTTATAACAGAAATGAAGAAAAGTGTGTTTGTTTTTCAAAAGTTTCAGGTGTTTTTGTTTTATTTAGCAAAAAAATGTAAAAAACTCAGTGGTGATTAAATACAACCAAAAGAAAGCTCTATTTGTGTGAAAAAAAACCCATAACAATTTAAAATGGATACAATGTTGCATGACCGTGCAATTTCATTCAAAGTGCGACAGCTCTAAAAGCTGAAAATTGGCCTGGGCAGAAAGGGGGTATAAGTTCCATTTTCCGAGTCCCTTATCGGTTCTTTATTGTAATAGGCACTGACCAATATGGAGGCTTAAAAGGTGGGAGGGCCTGGGTCAAGTCTGCTTTTAAAGGAAAAGTCAAAATTTGCATTTAAATTCAGTAACTGCTTGTATCTCAGAGTTTAATGATTATTCTGAAATACCATTTTTAGTGATGGTACCCTTTAGTTTGAAATGCTTGTGGCAGGTTGTGCTTATTTGAAAGTAATTTTGTAGGTAACTCTCACAGTTTTATGTGTTTTTGTATCATATTCCCATTGCTGCACTACATGTACAGATTTGTACAGATTTGGAGTTTTTACTTACAGTGGCTGTCTGCATTTCACTGCAGTCATAGAGTTGTCCTGAACAGAAATTGAAATAAAATTCAGGGACACAGAAAGCAATACAAATATGACAAATTCTAGCCCTTTCCCTCTCCTCTAAATATCTTTGTATTGCTGTGACTGTCTTTTGTCCCTATTGGGGAGATCTTATCTTACTTTCTATTATTTTTTGCCCCAATTAAATAGACAGCGAGTGAGAAGAAATCTTCCAGCAGGGACAAGGACAGCAATAACAAGCCAACAGAGTTTGTAACCCTTACTTAACCGCTTCCATACCGGGCACTTTTACACCTTCCTGCCCAGGCCATTTTTCAGGTCTCAGAGCTCTCACACTTTGAATGACAATGGCGCGGTCATACACAACTGCACCCAAACTAAAATTTTTATCATTTTCTTCACACAGCTAGAGCTTTCTTTTGGTGGTATTTAATCAACACTGGGGTTTTTATTTTTGCTAAATTAACAAAAAAAGACAGAAAAGTTTGAAAAAAAAAACATGTTTTTCTTTGTTTCTGTTATAAAAGTTTACAAATAAATAATTGTTCTTCATAAATTTAGGCAAAATGTATTCTACTACATGTCTTTGGTAAAAATAACCCAAATTAGGATGTATTTTTAGTTTGTAGGAAAGTTATAGAGTTCACAAACTATGGTATATATTTGAATATTGATCAATCCTGAAGTACTGATGGCCAATCTAATTTCTTGAGGTCCAAGAATGTCAGAACAGTACAGATATCCCCCAAATGACCACTTTTTGCAAAGTAGACAGTCCAACGTATTTCATAAGAAACATGGCGAGTTTTTTTTGAAGTTGTACTTTTTTATGTCATAATTTTTTTGAAAATGAAAAAATGAAAAACATTATTTTCACTATTTTTTTTTACATACTGTCATCAGTGCAGTACAGCATCATCATATAACTGGTATGGCGGTGATCAGGGAAACTGACTGGTGACAGTACGAAAAAATATATAATTTTTTTAAAAAAAAAAAAATTAAAATTTTTTATCAGTTTTAATTTTTATTACATTTTTTTTCCTCATTTGTTTTTCATATTTCGCTATGACCAAAGTAGTATAATGTTACCATAGTTAACATTGTACTAGTTTGGGAAAGTGATCAGTATTTTTTTTTTTTAATTACACAATTTGCTTATAGCAAAGAATTACTTTGCTATAAGCAAGCATTTACCTGAATGACATCGATTATTCAGGGTTTTTTTTTTTGTGCTTAGCTGTGATTTGGCCAGCTAATCACATGACACCATTTACAGCTAGACACACTAGTATTCAATGGATGGCATGAAACGAAGCCATCCATTGTATACAACTGTCATGTGACCTGCTGGGATTGGTCACAGCAGGTCACATGGTACTGAAAATGGGGCTGGTACACAGATCTGTCATTGGCCGTGTCTGAGGTACATGGCCGGTGACAGATCTCGCCGCAGAGCAGCCCTGCGGGCAGGCATTGTGCATGCCTGAAAGGATGCCATATGGTGTCCACCCGGAGGGACGAGGTGTTTTGCCGTCCGCCTTTGTGCTATTGGTTGGGCGGGAACCAGTTAAAACACAAGGACATGGCCTCAAATTAGCAGGAGGAAAGTTCAAAACTAATCTTAGAAAGTATTATTTTATAGAAAGAGTAGTTGATACTTGGAATAAACATCCAGCAGAGGAAGTGACTCAGGAAAAACTAAGTGCATTCAAACAAGCTTGGCATAAACATAGATGCATAAATCTATATCTATATACACATACACATAATATTGCCAAAAGTATTGGGACGCCTGCCTTCACATGCACATGAACTTTAATGGCAGCCCAGTCTTAGTCCGTAGGGTTCAGTATTGAGTTGGCCTACCCTTTGCAGATATAACAGCTTCAACTTTTCTGGGAAGGCTGTCCACAAAGTTTAGAAGTGTGTCTATGGGAATGTTTGACCATTCTTCCATAAGCGCATTCGTGACCTCAGGCACTGATGTTGGATGAGAAGGCCTGGCTCGCAGTCTCCGCTCTAATTCATCCCAAAGGTGTTCTATCGGGTTGAGGTCAGGACTCTGTGCAGGCCAGTCAAGTTCCTCCACCCCAAACACGCTCATCCATGTCTTTATGGACCTTGCTTTGTGCACTGGTGCGCAGTCATGTTGGAACAGGAAGGGGCCATCCCTAAACTGTTCCTACAATGTTTGGAGCATGAAATTGTCCAAAATGTCTTGGTATCCTGATGCCTTAAGAGTTACTTTCACTGGAACTAAGGGGCTAAGCCCTACCCCTGAAAAACAAGCCCACACCATAATCCCCCTCCACCAAACTTTACACTTGGCACAATGCTAAACCCAGACACTTCCATCGGATTGCTAGACAGAGAAGCATGATCTGTCACTTCAGAGAACTCGTCTCCACTGCTCTAGAGTCCAGTGTTGGCGTGCTTTACACCACTGCATCCAGCACTTTGCATTGCACTTGGTGATGTAAGGCTTGGATGCAGCTGCTCGGCCATGGAAAAACCCATTCCATGAAGCTCTCTACACACTGTTGTAGTGCTAATCTGAAGCCCACATGAAGTTTTGAGGTCTTTAGCTATTGACTCTGCAGACAGTTGCCGACTTCGGTGAGCTGTGCGCTTCAGCATGCGCTGATCCCGCTCTATCATTTTACGTGGCCTACCACTTACTGGCTGAGTTGCTTTTGTTCCCAGTTGCTTCCACTTTGTTAAAATACCACTAACAGTTGACCGTGGAATATTTAGTAGCAAGGAAATTTTATGGATGGACTTATTGCACGGGTGGCAACCTATCACGGCACCATGCTTGAATTCACAGGACCAGCAGTCCTGCATTGTATAGGAGGATGACAAGGGCCTTTCCCCATTCCAGAGCACTGGACATTGGAGGAGAGCCAGTTCTGGTTGGCTACGCTGTATCCAGGTGAGCCTGGTGGCCATGTTGGGTCAGCAGAGCCTTTTTAAGTGCCTTAAGTGCATGCTTTAAGGTGAGTGAATAGCGTAGGGACAATTCACCCATCTACCAGGGAGAGTGCTGCACAATAAGGGACAAGATAGGGACACACCATCCTCCACTGGAATTCTGATGAGGCATCAGGACCTGCTCCAACCTCCAGGCTTGGACAGAACTGTGAGTGTTCCTGGCTGGGTGCTTCCCCGTTGGGCTGTCTGTGTCTTTGGGCCATTCCTTCAATACATTATCCTCCGGTACCTCTGTTAGGGACCTGCATCACCGGAAGTGACATCACAGGACACCAGAAGCTGCTAGATACATAGACAAGAGACATATAGTTGACCCGCAAGGAAGATGTGATGTAGATGGTCTCCCAGACAATAGGTTTCAGGGCATGGTCCCTTTGTCCTCACTTCAGACTTGCTCTGTGTTATTGAAACTTCTGCTGCACCAGTCACAGATAAGACCTCAATATAATGTAAGGTCTTCAATATTGTGTGTCCCCTTTAATTGGGATCCTATATCCTCCAGCACCTCTTTCTCTTCCACTGCTCCAAAAAGTGCAGACTCTTTAAGAAGGACACTTTGCCTCCTCAGCAAGTGGCATCATATTATCCACTCCTCGCCAATTTAGCTTGCCTTGGTAGTAGGGACTCATGGAAGCACTCACCTTCAGTGTTCAGCAGTGCTGTTTGTAATAACACAGAAAGTCCACACCAGCTGTGGAGTCTCATGTCCCCCTTGACTATGCTGAGCTTCTACTCTGCTTTGTAAAACACCCACCTCCACAATTTACCTTTACTGTGTTTTCACTGTAATCAGTTCTAGTGATATAGCTTCCATACCCAAATAACACGAGCTAAACTATTGTCTGATTAGCTGGTAGTGAAAAATGGTGTGTAATTACTGACAGTTTAAAGTGGCACGAAATGCTATCTTTATTCTCCAGTAATGTATGTAATATATTTTTCATAAATTTTTTTCTTACTGTGTTTTTCTGTATCCTTGTAACATCCTCTGTGAGCTCCCTCACTTCTATTTGTTTGAAATGAACAGTGCACGTTAGTTGCAGTCACGTACACTGCTCTATGCACACTGCAGATCCCATAGTCCTTAGTTCCCAGTCCATCTCAGGAGCAAACAATAGATGGTGGCTACATTTCTACATACAGTGAGACCATGGAGAGTGAACGTAGCCACCCTCTAACAGGAAATAAGATCACAGCAGCAAAAAAGGAACTTGGAGATTTAGAGGAGGCTGAGAGCAAAAGAAGGTCCTCTTTTTGAGTTAAAGTGTTACTAAACCCACAGCAGTAAAATCAGTATATATATGCAGTAAAGCATGCTTGTTATACTCACTGTGGAACCTAAGGGGTTAATCCTCTGCATTGTCTAAAAACTCTGTCTGATCCTCCCCTTCTTCCAGTGTCACCCTCTTATCTCCTGATAAGACATATTGTGTGGAGACACTCTACACATGCTTAGTTTGGTTTATATTGCTAGAAAGGTTTTTTTTTTTCTTGGGAGAGTGCATGGGATCAGCACAGGGCCAATCAGCACTGTCCAGACAGAGGTCAGGAGTTCTGCATCCTTCCTGGAGCAGAATGAAAGCTCCTCCTATGAGCTTTAACCTGTGCTCTGCTGAACACTAACAGAAGTCAAAAGACTGCTCTAACTGCTGATGAGAAAAGGTATTTAGCAGTTTTTTATTTACTAAAATAATTGCATTTCCATGTTCTATGTACTGTGTGAGACCAGATATAGTGAATGCAGGGTCCTGGGTTTAGTAACATTTTAAGAATATAACTTGTACATACCTAAATAGAATTTTCTTTTTTTTTAACCAGAGTTTACTTTCCCAAACTGGAAAATAGTTGTTAAAATATTAAAACCTCTTTTCTATGGTATTTTTTTTATGTAATGTTATATTTCTTAAGGTATCTTCTCTAGGCATACGTTGGTATGGAAAAAAAAATGGTATTCATGTGAGCAATCTTTTTCACATTGGATATTAAGCTGAAATAAGGTTGTATAGCTTGTTTTATAGGACTTTCCCACAACCACAAGACCTAAGCACTGCAATTTTGCAGCCAAATCTGGCCAGCTATTATAATTATTAATCAATATTTTCAGACCTGACTGTGTATTTTAATTATAACTAGCAACTTATCTTTGCCAGCTGTCAGCTCAGCCAAGTAAATCAAAAAATAAAAGATCGCAGCCAGTTTTGGCCTATTTAAGGGTACAATGCCAGTAGCATAGTATTACCATGAAAATACAGCATTTACTATAAGAAAATAACCATCGCTGAAAGCCCAATTAGAACTTTCAGTACCAATGTAAATGTACAATATTATGCCTTGTCAGTACTATAAATACATGTAAAGGATAGGTGTATGAATATCAGATAAATACATTCCAGATGTGTAAAAACAAACGGTGCTTAATGACTTACAGTTTAATTTTCTTTTGAATGCAGCTACAACCTGAATTGAAAAGCCAACCCCCTGCCAGCAGCTGCAGATTAGGACCCTTGCTCTCTGTGGGAAACACTGGTTTCTCTGCAGTGACCCAACACACCCCACAGTGAGTCAGGCCTATATTTCTGCAATCAGCAAAACTCATGTCCTCTGCTGATTGGAAAGCTCTTGACTCTGACACCCAGAGGTGTGCAGGACCCTTGCAGAGTTCCCAATTTTTCTCAACAGACAGCAAGGGACTCACTATTCAGCTACTGGCAGTGGCATAGTGTGGGTTGTCAGCGCCCGGGGCAAGGCAAGTAATTTGCGCCCCCTAACCCGTGGACTTTCCCTCTCTGAGTCCCTTCCACTGTGACCGTGGAAATGCAAAGGGTTTTCTCACCACTCTGGTGGTGTAAGTAGAACCTTCAGGACCCCAGTGAAAGAAGCCATGAAGCCTGACCCTCGGCCGTGGCCCTTCCCTCTGAACCCGGTGGAGGAATACCAGGGCCCAGTCGCAAGTGTGACCTTTGTTACTCTGGTAGTTCCGCCACTGGTGTCAGCAGTTTTTTAAACTTTTGTTATTTTATTAGAAACATAAAAAAGTGAAGGCAGAAAAAGACAGAGTGGTCCTCCTGTACAGGGCCCAGGCCAGCAGGAGGGCCCAGGCAGCTGGGTGAGTTGGATGTGGGCAGGGAGGGTGATCGGCACAGCGGAGAGGCAATTACTGCAACAGATCCCCTATATGGCTCTCTCTGCAGCAGCTGAAAGCTGGCTTCTTCACTTCTCTCTCCTGCTGGCTTTCAGCTGCTGCAGGGAACCATACAGGGGATCAGATCTGCACCCAACACCCATCACCCTCCCTGTGCACCATATGTTTCCCAATGCTACCCAAACTCAGTGTGCCCCTACCCCCGCAGTGCTGCATGCTTTCCTCCTCTCCTTCCCACTGACAGCTAAAAGCACACAATAATATCTTTCAGTATGGAGAGTGTGGGAAGGGTCCGGTAAATATGTCACATTTTACTAGCCCCTTTTTTCTGAATGAACACAATGAGTGATCAGTACTGAACACTCACTGTGTTCATTCATAACTGAAGAATAGTACAATGTGTGGGTTTTTTTTTGGGGGGGGGGGCTGTCAGGTTGGCTGTATGGGCCCTGTGGTTTCTAACAGCAGTCCTGGGCGGCACTGATGGGCGACATTGACAAGCGGCGCTTACTGACGGCACTGACTGGTGGCACTGATGGGCGGCACTGATGGGTGCAACTGCTTGTACTGCACTGATGGCTGGCACTGATGATGGTCACTGATGGGTGGCACTGCTGCACAGTTTCTGCTTATCGGCAGTACTTTACTCAATCTGTGACAGTGTGAGGAAAGTGCTGCCGATAACCGGCAACTGTATCAGGGGCGGACTGACAACTTATGGGGCCCCTGGGCAATAGGGGATCATGGGGCCCCTGTGTCCTTGCCCAAACTCAAAAAAGCCTATGAAAAAGGCACCAAGGGCATCTCATGGGACCCCCTACTGACCCCGGGCCCTCGGGCAATGCCCGAGTTTCCAAATGGTCAGTCCGCCCCTGAACTGTATTTACTCTGTGATCTGCTGTATCATTGGACACAGCTGATCACATGGTAAAAGGCTGCTGTGGTTGGCCTTTTACCTCATCACGTGATCAGCTGTGTCTGTAGGACACAGCAATCATGGAGATTGCCGGGTGCGTGTCACTGGGGGCACGCGGGAGGGCGCGTTCTGGGAGGATGTCATATGACGCCCTCCCAGAACTGGACAACGGCTATAGCCGTCATTCGGCTATAGTGCGGTTAGCAAGTGGTTAAACTCCCGGGATATTGATCTGTTCAGTTAAGTAGCAGAGGTATGTTAATCAATTTCAGCTGCTTTGGTGCTAATGAAATTGACAACAGGTGCACTAGATGGGCAACAATGAAACGACCCCCAAAACAGGAATGGTTTTACAAGTGGAGGCCACTGACATTTTTTTCTCTACTCATCTTTTTTAACAGTTTTTCACTAGTTTTGCATTTGGCTAAGGTCAGTGTCACTACTGGTAGCATGAGGCGATACCTGGACCCTACAGAAGTTGCACAGGCAGTCCAACTCCTTAAGGATGACACTACGTGCCATTGCCAGAAGGTTTGCTGTGTCTCCCAGCACAGTCTCAAGAGCATGGAGGAGAATCCAGGAGACAGGCAGTTAGTGTAGGAACGATCTCCAATCCCAGAGGACGCTATTTTGGGAAAAACGCGCCAGGCAGAGTCTGTGACATCACCATGCATGAGCCAATGGACTGACACCGCAGCTGATTTATCTTTCCATTGCTCTCTTTTACTCATACGAATGTACGAATGTAAGCGCAATACTTAAGCTATAATAAACATTTGTTTTTAACGGGGTTGCACTATGAAGCTTTTCTTGTCTAAACCCTTCCATATATTACTGTGGAGAGCAGTATAAAGTGGTTAAGCCGTTTCCTGGTGTGAACACGCAGTGATCCATCCATCTTCTCTGGATTTGTCAGTGAGAGTGTCAGTGTGGAGTTTGGACACTATCCGCTCATTTGATCTCTATAGCTTGAGATCAATTTGATTTGGTAAGAGGTTTGCCTGTTTTTTCTGAGGAGCACCTTTTGAGCACAGCAGCACTTTATTGGAAGATTAATCAGGCACGCAGCACTTTTTTGTTCACATTGGATTGGGGGCTTATATATATGTGTTTATTTTGCACTGCATTGCACTGTATATGAAATATTATTTGATGGTTTATGTATTTTAGGTTGCACAGTTTTGTATTTTATACAGAACAATCATCATTTGAGGATACATCAATTTTCAGTTTGCACATATTTCTTCATTTACTTATCACTTTTAAAGTGAACAGCGCAGTTTTTTTTATATATTGAAATTATTTACTATGGTATTCAGGAAGGTATTAGCAGCCATTCACTTTTCCATTTATTCATTTTTTATTTTTTCATAATATATAATATTGGGTTAAGTGCAAATATTTCCTTTTTTTTTCCACAGAGTTACTGGACAGGGCCGTAGGAGGTCCTTGACCCATCAGCAGGACCGATATCTGCTCCTTTGTGCAAGGAGGAACAGGATGAGCACTGCCAGAGCCCTACAAAATGACCTCCAGCAGGACACTGGTGTGAATGTCTCTGACCAAACAATCAGAAACAGATTTCATGAGGGTGGCCTGAGGGCCCGAAATCCTCTAGTGGGCCCTGTGCTGACTGCCCGACACCATAGAGCTCGATTGGCATTTGCCATTGAACAATTGAATTGGCAGATCCGCCACTGGCACCCTGTGCTTTTCACAGATGCGAGCAGGTGTATATCCAACATGATATTTTTCCTCATTGAGATCTGATGTGTTATCAAAGTGTTCCTTTAATTTTTTTTCAGCAGTTCACATGATAATGCCAAGGGACAACCAACAAACCGAAGCTTCGGGAAGAAAAGGGCAGTTCTGGAGTATGCCAGAGCAGAGGTTGGAGTAAATAATACTGCCTGTTCCTCTATTACCTAGACATAAAAGCAGTTAACCCTTACAGTGCGGGGGCCCACTGCAAGGGTAGATTTTGTCTGCATTTTAGTTTTAACATTGAATTCAAGTTTTCTACCTTATAAATGGAAAGAAAAAAGGTTTATATGACCTTCCTTGGTCTTTTCACCCTATTCTACATTGGCCTGTGGGAAGAGTCCAGTGGAACCAGTACTTCACTGCAGTAATGCCCAATCAACAGTGATTGACATTTAGCAGACACCATGCCCATCTAAACTAATACACACAGCTACTGTATGTCTAAATGTGAACATTGGAATACAGTAAACCAGATGCTGTGTGTTATATGTGGTCGCATTCCGGATCACCCTGTGCATTATAAGAAACTGGGGTGATATCTCCTTCAATATTGCCTATTGTGACTAGATAAGTAGATAATATAACATATATTATCACCTAATGCAGTGTTTCTCAACCTTTTTTTTCAGTCAAGGCACCCTTTAAAATTATGGACAGTCCAGAGGCACCCTTTAAAATGGGGTACCTCAAGACTGTTCATAATTTTAAAGGGGCACCCCATTCTAAAATGTGAAAAACTATTCTAATAGTTTTATATAATGCAGCAACATCCACACATGTAGGATACCCAACATTAGAGGTGATTTATTCTTCCAAAGAAACCAAAGGTGGCTTCCTTATCAACTGATGATGTAATTGGTTGTCAG